GTGCAGCCCCCGAGAAGAGCCGGCCGGCGGTGTGCCACTCCCCTGCGGAAGTGGGGAATGTGGCCAGGGGGAACTGCCCTTCCACGGAGGTGGAAGGGATAGTAGCCAACCCGGGAAGAACCAGCAGCAAACCCGGGGAGGGCCGAGCAGACAGAAAGAACAGCGCAGGGTCCTGTGTTGCTCCTCCACGAAGAGGGGGAGCGACAATCTTGTAATAAATATTCATTCATAAATAGTCATGTTTATATAGATTTACATGTGTATATTATATATGGATGTCATTAGATCTGCGTTTACTGGGAATATTCCATATTTATTACACATGCTCCTTTTCAATTTTCTAGTAGATGATCAGCTTTAGTCCAAAGCAGTCTTTACTTGTTCCTATATCAGTTATGTTGGAAAGGATTTTTCCTATTCCTTACCTATTTTACATTTTCATCAATTTCTGATATATAGCAATAGAAATAGAGTAAAATTTCAGAGCAGACATTGTGGTATACCAGAATGTCAGTTTGAGTCCTCTCTGCTCTACTTCTGATCCAGCTTCCTGCTAATTCACCTGGGAAAGCAGCAGGTGAGGGCTCAAGTGACTCCTCACTTCAGTTTGGTTCAGCCCTAGCTATTGCCACAATTTTTGGAGTGAACTAGTGGACGATAAATTAGTTTCTCTGTCTCTGTCTCTGTCTCTGTCTCTCTCTCTCTGGCTTTCTTTCTCTCTCTATTTCTGTTCCTCTTCCTTCTCCTCTTTCTCTGTCTTCTTTTCAAATATATAAATAAATTCTTAAAAAGAAAATAAATAGAACACACCTTGTCTTTACTTCCTTGCTTGTGTTAATGACTTTGTGCACAAAGACTGACAGAGAAGTCAGTGAGAAGCATGAGACTTCCTAACAAGTAAGAAACAAATTGGGCAGACTGATAATGAGGGTACAGTAGAGAAAAAAACTGATGGAGACTTGAGCACATTGAAACTATGATAAAAATGAATATGTGGTAGTATCCTAGTGTCATCTGAATATGCGGTAGTACCATAGTGTCATCTATTCTGAATTCTAGGTCAAGAATGTGCTGTTAATTAGTCACTGCTATGAATTGTGTAACTCTTATGCCCATTATGTTTTGCAGTGTCAGAAAAAGAGATATTTAAAAGCCAAACTAACTTGGTTGTAAATATTACTTGACCACATGTAGCTATGTCAAAATTTTCTTAATTATGGAAGGTTAACATTGTGGAAAGAACATGACTTTGAAGTAAAAAATTATTTGTTGAGCTCTTGTATTCACAAAGTACTAGCTACAGGATACTCGGTAAGTAGGGAAATCTACTTGAGCCTCAATTTTTGATTTGCAATCTCAGAATATTAATTCCTTGTTTTGACATTTAAAGATCAAGTGATATAATAAATGCAAGCAAATATGGAACTATGGTGCCAAGTAATCATTCAATGAAAATCACCTCCTTCCCATTATAATGAGAAGGCATGAGGGAAGGCACCTCCACAGAGTTGTTAGAAACAGTATTCGTTTGCTAAGGCTGCCGTTACAAAATTCCTCAGACTTCTGAGTGGCGTAAATAGCATTTTACTTTCTCACATCGGGAGGCTAGATGTCTAGGTGTAGGTACAGGTAGCTTTGTTTTCTTCTGATTCCTCTGTCCTTGGCTTGGGTCCAGTTTTCTTCCTGTGTCATAACATAGTCATCCCTATGGGTTTGTCTGTGTCCCAATTTCTTTCTCTTTTAAGGGACATAAATTATACTGGATTAGATCTCACCCATACAATCTGTTTAAAGGCCCTTTCTCCACATACAGTCATGTTCTGAGGTACCAGGAGTTCAGAAGTTTACCATACAAATTTGGGGACACGCATAATTCAGCCCATAACTGATGGACGTTACAAGTTTATATCATTTTCAGTTCTATAGTGAATTTTTACACATGTGTTTATGTATTTGGAATTGAAGGTAAATAAGCAAAGAACAAAACCACCACATTCAACATTTGGAAGGAGCACAGTAAACTGTAATAATGAGCACTAGAGAGAAAATTTAGTTTTGGAAGCAGCATGGAAATCCAGTAAGACAGAATGACATGGTGATTTTGTGCAAGCATGTGGGAGTTTATCTGAGTGCGTTCGAGAACTTGTGTGCACTCATGTGAAGGAGTGAGGTTAACATGCATACAGATGTGTAAGTTTGTGGGTATACATTGGTGTGAGTGTTCATGTATGTGTCTGGGGTAGGGGAGAAGAGAAATTGGCTTTGGAGAAGACAAACAGGGCAATGAGTAAGCACATCACCTGAATGGCGAATACTTAGCACAAGCAGTGCCACAGGAGGATAGCAAAAAAAATCATAGTCGTGTTATTGTGGGATGACACGAATTCTCACCTCCTACTTCCTCCTGGAGTTCAGAGGAGCTTTTTTTGGACAATCTCAGAAGAAGTAAGAAGAAATACCTATATCCAGCACCACGGAATACAGTTGGAACAAGTGTTGTCCACTGAGTGGGAACCTGGAAAGAGATGGATGGGAATGAAATTCTACCTTCATTTTGCAGTTAAATCAACAACCCACTTGATTTTACCTACTTCTGGGGAAAGGACTGATGGATTGGCCTTGTTTTTCTCTCATTTTCATAAAGAAGCTCTGTAGGTTACCTGCTATATTGGCCCTGCCTGCACCAGTACCCCTGGTCCCACTGCCATCTCAAGACCCCTCTGAAGAAATGGGCCATGCAGCCAGCACATGTCCTTAAAGCAGCCAGCACTTCCTCTCCTCTTCTATATGTCACACAGCATGAGCATTTATTTGAAAGATTCATTTTTTTTTACATGAAATAAGAGTGACACACAGAGAGAAAGAGACAGAGATAAAGATCTTCCATCTGCTGTTGCACTCCCCAAACAGTGGCAAAATCCAGGTCGGTGTCAGGTTGAGCCCAGGTGATGGGAACGCCATCAAGGTCTCCCAAATGGGTTACAGGGTCCCAAGTCTTTGTGCCATTGCCTGCTGATTTCCCAGGGAACTAGACTGAGATTGGAGTTGTGGGTACTCTAAGCAATGCTCCAATATGGGATGTCATCATAACAAGCAATGACTTAACCTTCTATGTCACAAGACCAGCTCTACCCTAGTGGATTTAGAGAGTTCTCCCTCCTTACAGGTTTATATTTTCTTATAAAATAAACAGTTCTGTTACAATCATGACAAAGTGAATTATGTGGGTTCTCCATAAAGACTCATAGCTGATCACTTCTGGTACATTCTAGTGTGTCCCAGATTCCCTATGCCTCTCTAATCCAAATCTTTGCTGGGAGACCTACACTTAATGTGTTTGGCAAATTAACCACATACATCTCAGAAGAGGACAGCCTTATTACAAGGTTATAGGACCAAAATTCTGGATAATTCTGCCAGACACCAAGACTATGAGAGCGATAATTCTGTGGCCCACAGGCCAGCTGTGACAATTAGCATTTGAATGCTGCCAACTTGTGTCCCCTCTCTGGATACAATTTGCAAACAGGCCACCTTTGCAGAGAGGTGTAAAAGTGTAGGGAATGCTGTCAACTTTCAAATGTGCACGTGTGAATACGTAACAGAAATATGCTTGTCCAGACTGTGTTGCAATGGCTTTCAAATGGTTGAATTTTTATCTGAAAAATATTTAGATATCTCTTCAGACAGCAATCTTATTTTACAGATGAAAAGATTAATGTGAAAGAAAATTGTACTTTTTTGCTGTCCTGTTTACCTAAATACATTTTTGTTGGAAATGGATGGGAGATTAGAACTAGATCCCTTTCCATCCAGCGCAGGGCACACTCATTATTTCTTCCTACAAACATATGAATGGGTATCCCACCCTAAGTAAATGTACATGCTCCAATCTGCAAGAGAAAATGTCACTGTTGCTAAGAAAATGTGCCAGTGGATATCCCAGTACCAAGACTGTGAAAGAGGGATGGAGGGAAGGTGAGTCTGAGGTACTGCTCTGCTGTTTCGTGCCTGGCACTCCCTACCTGCCTCTTCTGTGAGGAAAACAGACTTCAGGTCTCTAAGAAATAATATTGTATGTCCTTATTTTTTGTTTGGGACAGATTGAAAAGTTTACTAGGATCATCCTTGGTGTGTGATTTTGAATTTAGGAAGAAGAAGAGTTTAGACATAAAAAAGCAATGTCGGGGGGATGCAGCACTGTGACATAGTGGGTAAAGCTGCTGCCTGCAGTGCCGGCATCCCATATGGGCACCAGTTTAAGTCATGGCTGCTCCACCTCTGATCCAGCTCTCTGCTATGGCCTGGGAAAGCAGTAGAGGATGGCCCAAGTCCTTGGGTCCCTGCACCCATGTGGGAGACCTGGAAGAGGCTCCTGGCTTCTGGCTTTGGATTGGCTCCACTGCATCCACTGCAGCCATCTGGGGAGGGAACCAGCAGATGGAAGATCCCCCCGCCACCTTCTCTCTCTGTGAAGTGCTGACTTTCAAATAAATAAATAAATCTTTTTTAAAAAAGCAATGTGGGACCAGCATTGAGGCATAACCAATAAGCCACTGCTTGCAAAACCAGCTTCCCAGAATGGCACAGGATAGAGTACTAGTTGTTCTGTTTCCAATCCAATTTTCTGCTAATGCACATGGAAAAGTGCCAGATAATGACCCAAGTCCTTGGGCCCCTGCACACATGTAGGAGACCCAGATGAAGCGACTGGATCCTGGCTTCTGCTAGGCCCAGCTCCTTCTGTTGCAGCCATTTGGGAAGTGAACAAGTGTGTGGAAGACTCTCTCTCTCTCTCTCTCTCTCTCTCTCTCTCATTCTTCCCTTCAAATAAATTGTAAAAAATCTTTAAAAACAGAAATGTGTTGCATACAATATTCTAGAGGAACTACAAATTCTATATTAAGGCTTTGGAGAATTTCATTTTCCAAAAGTGATATATAAAACACAGCATTATCCATTAACGTATAAAACCTGACAGTTCCTATGCTTCCTCACAGGGAGCAGAACCTTGTGTCCTGCGGACCTAAGGCTATGGCTGTACTGTATTGTTGGACTACACTTTATCATGTTAGCCTTTCGCTGGGCTCTGAGATGCAACCCATGGAACAGTGGAGATGTAATGAGCAGTTGTTTGATCACCAAGGAGATTCGTCACCAAAGCAGGACCTTTCCTCATTCTGGCTTTTGGCATTAACTCTGGTTATTTGAGTTAGTACTCATTTCTGTCACCGAATCCCCAGTTCATGTATGCAGGTAAGTGCATAAGTGGTTGTATCAGCTTAACTCATGTCTTAAAAAGTTAGAAGAATAGCAAAGGGATGTTTACGATTTTACTGCAGAAGGGGAACATCTAGATTCCAATGGCAGCTGAATTGTATTTGAATCTCCTGGGGCATAGCAAATATGAAATAAATATTACTTAAGTAATGACCAAATGCTAGTTCATTTTTTAAGTCAGAGGCAAGTTAATGCTCTCAGGCTAAAATGAGCCAGATACCACTTTTTGTAAATACAGTTTTAATGGAACATGCTCATGGTCTATTGGTTCACATTTCCTTTGGCTGTTTTTGCGTACAATGATAGAGACCATACTACCTGTGAAATCTACACTGTTTGTTATCTATCTCTTTATGGAAAATGCCTTCTGTTCCTGTTTTCAATGCTTGTTTATTAGATTAATTAAATTTAACATTCATAAATATATTGTACACACAAACATACCTACATTTTTATGTGTTATATATATATAAATCTACATATATGTTAAATTAGATAGATCTGTGCCTAAGCTGTGGATTATACTGCTAGAAATTACTAGAGCCAGGGTACAGACTTGGATCACTCGTTTTGGATTTAAATGCTGTTAGATTGATTATAAAAAGAGAAAGTATGTATGATTATATATGTGTATGGTTGCTGGGCATAGACACGAGCTGGCATAATTATTACATATGTCCAAAATGGCGTCTGCTCTCTGTCAGCTTGTTATAGGACACCTTTGCAGGATGATCAGAGAAAGAGAAAACATGCCCCTGCTTTGTTTTTTCTCCTCTAGTTTGGCAGCTACACTGTCCCCCACAGGGCTCCAAGCTGGGTTCCCTCTAGGCTCTTCCTGCAGCTTTTTTGCCAGTGGCTTGGGCAGCTGCAGTCTGCTCTCACGTCACTCTCCAACACTGGTGCAGAGGCTCTCAGAGGCTGGGACCCTAAGTTGTGCGCATCTTTGCCCCTCTGCATAGGTCCACTGTGTTCCTCCAATTTGTGTAGTTTCCTCTGCTGTTTTCTCCCTAACTCTTCCCTGAGACTGCCTCAATATCTTCCTAAAAATTAATTTGTTATTTTAGCCGGTGCCACGGCTCACTAAGCTAATCCTCCGCCTTGCGCGGCACCGGCACACTGGGTTCTAGTCCTGGTTGGGGCGCCAGATTCTGTCCCGGTTGCCCCTCTTCCAGGCCAGCTCTCTGCTGTGGCCAGGGAGTGCAGTGGAGGATGGCCCAAGTGCTTGGGCCCTGCACCCCATGGGAGACCAGGATAAGTACCTGGCTCCTGCCATCGGATCAGCGCACTGCGCCGGCTGCACCACGCCAGCCGCGGCAACCATTGGAGGGTGAACCAACGGCAAAAGGAAGACCTTTCTCTCTGTCTCTCTCTCTCACTGTCCACTCTGCCTGTCAAAAAAAAAAAAAAGTTTATAAATTTATTTCTGGACTATCAATTATACACCTCTAATCTATATGATCTATCTAATCAGCACTACACAGGACTGGTTATTGTAACTTTATAACAGTATTTGAAATCAAGAAGTATGAATCTTCCTATTCATAATATTTCAGGTTCAGTTTTACTATTTTAAATCCCTTTGATTTACATATGAACTTTAGTTTGTTTGTCAATTTCTGCCAAGAGGTCTCTAGTTTTAATAAAGATCATGTTGAATCCATGGATGAACTTGAAGAGTATTGCCATTTTAACAACAACACATCTTTTGTTGCATAAAACTGATAGATATTTTCATCTTTTAGGTATTCTTCAATTTCTTTAAATTATGTTTTTAGTGTATATTGTACCTTAAAATATATTACAATATGGGAATGTAGACCACCAATTAAGGTGCTGGTTAGAATGTCTGCATCCCATGTAAGAGTACTTGTGTTCAGTGTTCAACTCTGGCTCCTAATTCCAGTTTCTTGGCCGGCGCCATGGCTCACTTGGCTAATCCTCCACCTGTGGCACCGGCACTCCGGGTTCTAGTCCCGGTTGGGGTGCTGGGTATTAGTCCCGGTTGCTCCTCTTCCAGTCCAGCTGTCTGCTGTGGCCTGGGAGGGCAGTGGAGGTGACCCAAGTGCTTGGGTCCCTGCACCTGCATGGGCGACAGGAAGGAAGTACCCGGCCCCTGGCTTTGGATCGGTGCAGCGCTGGCTGTAGCAGCCATTAGGGAAGTGAACCAATGGAAGGAAGACCTTTCTCTCTGTCTCTCTCACTCTCACTGTCTAACCCTGCCTGGAAAAAAATAAATAATTAAATTAAAAAAGAATGTCTGTATCCCATGTATGAGTATCTGTGTTCAATGTTCAACTCTGGCTCCTAACTCCAGTATCTTATTAATGCTTAATATGGGAGGTAAGTAATTGTATACTTGCCACCCCTGTGGAAGACTTAGATTGAGTCCTTCGTTAGCAATTTTACAGTCCCCAGACTGGCCATTGAAGATGTTTTGCAAGTGAAACAATACATATTGTTCTCTGTTTCTCTCTCACTTGCTTATTTTCTCTTGCCTGCCAAAATCAATAAACTTAAAAAAATTACTGAGAATGCTGCATTTTTTCTGTACTACTTAAAATGAAATTGTGTTCTTAACTTCATTTTGGGTTGTTCCTTATAGAAATAGAAATACAATAAATTTATATTTATTTATATGATAATCTGAAACCATGTTGAACATGTTCTTTAGTTTTAATATCCTTTGGTGGGCTCACAGAATTGTTTGTTATCAGTATTTTGTCTTGTGAAAATAGACACAGCTTTATTAATGATTTTTTTGGTATGTAATCACCCTTTCTAGAATGTCACACATGAAGTTCACTAGAATTAGTAAGAATGGATATTCTCAATACTTTCTGAATTTAAAAGGATTCAATCTTTTCCCATTTGTCTTGATGTTATATCTATTTTATAGATGTCCTTTATCAAGATGAGGAAATTCACTTCAAATTCTAGTTTTACTGGGCATCTTTATTATGAGAGCACTTCGTATTTGTCAAAGGCCTTTTTTCATCATTTGAGTTAACTGTGTTTTATTTCTTTCTATACATGTGTGTTTAATATTCCTCTTTAATGTAGAGAGTAAAAGAAGAGGTCTTGAAGCAGAGTGTTTATGATTGGAATTTGTAACAGAATAAAATGAAGAGTTTAAAATAACTACTTACCATCACCTGGCTTATATCCAATTACATGGACCACAAATCAATTACTTCCATAAATGCAAAATGTCTTCCAGAACTCTGGTCATATGGTTCCTGCATGATTTTTTACAGCCTCCACTCAACTGGAAGGAGAAGCAGCCAGAGAGTAATAGGACCTTTTAAACTCTCGCTCTGACCATTGTCATTGAGCAAGCATGTGCTTCTGCCCTTGACACTGTTACTAATATGCATGGTTTTCTAGAACACCGCTTATTCCTGGTTTTTCATCACACAGAACCTATGAATTATATCTGGACAAGTATGGGCCAGAAAAAAATTGGCTACAGGCTTTTCCCTAGGAACTGTCATTTCACAGAGCTTTTCTTAACTCTACTTAGTTTCACATGATAGTACTCTAATCTTTATGGATTGGCAGAGGAAAGAAAGATTATTCAAACAATGCAAAAAAGAGGAACTATCCTAAGTAATCTTAGAAAATACCGTATTATGCAAAAAAGAGTAACTATCCTAAGTTATCTTAGAAAAGACCATATTAGTTGCTATTATTACCATGATGTGGCATAATAAATCATCTCCAAATTCAACAACCTTCGATAACAAGTCTTTGTTCTCATGTTCATGGATGTCCATGTGACCTGTGTGGTTTGATGGATCTATGTGTAGTTAACTATCTTCAGCAATCCATTTGATTCCAAGATGTAGGTTGGACACAGGTCCACTCTGCATATTTTCTTATTTCCTAGGCTCTTCAGGGAGCACAGGCACATCGTCTCCATGGCAAATTACCAGATCTCAACATTCCAACATCAGTGGTGAGGAATGGAGGTGGCTATTTGATAAACATTAACCTAAATCTCATTCAGCCTAAGCCAGACGATTCTTTGTGGGTCCTTTCAATCACAGAGAAAATACAAACGTGGATCAAAGCAGGAGTATTTCCTCCAATAAATGATGTGTCCCTGTCCTCTTGCTAACCAGGAAGAAAGTTCCCTAAATTTGAATTTCAGAAGCAACTTTAAATATTCCTCATTGAAAACCCAAAAGTAAATACAATAAGGGATTGATATTGCATCTGAAATCCAATAACATCATCCTTGATTTATTTTCAGGTCATGTGATGACATCCCAAATATCATTCAGATACTCAAAACTGCCAGGTCGTTTCAACCATCTATGTCTTCATGTATAGAGTACCTTCTGCCTAGAACATGACCCCTGCTTCCCCCTTTGACATTTTCACCAGTATATTCTCATCTTTCAAGACTCACATCAAGAACCTTTTATTTTCTTGGCATATATCCAGTGTTTGGAAGTCATTTGATGACTAACTTTTCTGTGGTTGACTAAATGTATTTAAAATACACCGGGTTCTAGTCCTGGTCGGGGCGCCAGATTCTGTCCCGGTTGCCCCTCTTCCAGGCCAGCTCTCTGCTGTGGCCAGGGAGTACAGTGGAGGATGGCCCAAGTCCTTGGGCCCTGCACCCCATGAGAGACCAGGATAAGCACCTGGCTCCTGCCATCGGATCAGAGCGGTGCAGCAGCCACAGCACACTGGCCGTGGCGGCCATTGGAGGGTGAACCAACGGCATAGGAAGACCTTTCTCTCTGTCTCTCTCTCTCTCTCTCTCTCACTGTCCACTCTGCTTGTCAAAAAATAAAAAAATAAATAAATTAAAAAAAAATCCTATTCTCCTACAATTGAGGCCCAGGAATTTGAAGCCATTTGATCTAATTTATATAGCCTACAGTCAGTCCCCTTTATAAAATATCCAGAAGTAGCAGCAGATATAAACTATTTTTCAACAACATGAGTCTCAGTCATTTTAACAACTG